AATACCAACTACAAGTAATACAAGTGTATGCGCCAACATCGAGTCACAATGATGAAGAAGTTGAAGAGCTATATGAGGAGATTGGAAAATCAATGGAGAAGAATAAAAGTCAATACAAGATCGTAATGGGTGACTTTAATGCAAAGGTTGGACAACATCATCAAAGCGACGGAGCGACAGTTGGAAAGTTTGGTCTTGGAGAAAGGAACGAAAGGGGAACCAGACTGATGCAATTTGCAAAATCAAAAGGTTTGAAGATCGGAAATACCTTCTACAGGAAGAGGAAGATCAGAAAATGGACCTGGATAAGTCCTAATGGCGAAACCAGGAACGAGATCGATTATATTTTGGCAAATAAAAACATGATCCAGAATGTCAATGTCATAAAAAGGGTAAACATCGGTAGTGATCACAGAATGGTCAGAAGTAAGATCAAAATGAAAACAAGACTGGAAAGAATGAAATGATGAGACCAAAAGGAGTGAAAGTAAACATCAACGCCCTGAAACAAAGAGAGAATGAATTTCAACTGGAGTTGCAAAATCGCTTTGAAGCCTTGCAAGAAGAAGACAGTGTGGAGGAAATGGCACTTAACATCACAAAGACCATTAAGGAATGTGCTATGGAAACAGCAGGAAAAGAGGAAAGACGGCGAGAGGAGAAGCTCAAGCAGGAAACTAAAAACTGCTAAAAGAAAGGAGAGCAATGGCAAAGAAAGATCTGAATGACCAGGAGAGAAGAGAGTACAACAAATTATGTCAAACCATCAGGAAGAGATTGAGAGAAGATCTTAGAGAGCACAACACCATGCGAGTGAAGGAGGCAATTGAGAGTGGGAAAGGATTGAAAAGAGCAAAAGAAAAAGAAGGCTGCAAAGTTCTTATACCAGCATTGAAAGAGCAAGATGGAACCGTCATCACCAACAGAGAGAGAATACTTGAGAGGTGCGCAGAATTCTATGAAAAGCTATACAAAGATGCAGCCCAGAACATCAGAAAAGAAGAAGCAGAGGATGTACCACCAATCCTTGATAGTGAAATCGAGCATGCCATAAAAGGTATGAAGAATAACAAAGCACCTGGAGAAGATCAGATTGTGATTGAAATGCTCAAAGCCGGAGGTGAAGTTGTGAGATCAAAGCTGAGAACACTCTTCAATAGAGTGATGACTGAAGAAAAGATACCCAACGAGTGGAAAAATGCCATTATAGCACTCATATTTAAGAAGGGAGACAAGAAAGACCTTGCTAATTATAGACCAATCAGTTTACTCTCCCAAGTCTACAAACTCTTCATGAAGATCTTGAAGAACAGGTTGAATAACAATCTGAGTGACCACCAGCCGCCAGAACAAGCTGCCTACAAAAGAGGTCATTCAACCATCGACCATCTGCAGTCAGTAGTGCAAATACTCGAGAAAACCAATGAGTATAAAATACCCATTCATATGGCGTTTGTAGACTACGAAAAAGCCTTTGATTCTGTACTGCACAAGGCTGTTTTTGAAGCGCTAAAACAACACAGCGTAGAGGAGAAGTACATCAACATCCTGAAAGAGACATATGATGGAGGCACTGCTCAGGTTCGGAACGAATCACTTAGCCGAAAGATTAAGATCATGAAGGGAGTGCGGCAAGGAGACACCTTGTCACCAGTGATGTTCACAGCAGCGTTGGAAGAAATATTCAGGAGAATGGAAGTTGAAGTGGGAATTAACATCAACGGAGAGAGATTGAACAACCTGAGATTTGCAGATGATATCATCTTATTTGCAGAAAAGGAAGAGGATCTCAGCAAGCTGATCAACGATCTGAACAAGGAAGGGAGAAAAGATGGCATGAAAATGAACAGAAAGAAAACGAAAATCATGTGCAATGAAATAGCTAGGAAAAGAAGAAGGAAAGGAATAATTGTGGATGGAGAACAACTGGAGGAGGTGGATGAGTACAAGTACTTGGGAAGACTGCTAACACCAGGAAATGAGATGGCGAAAGAAATAGACGAGAGAGTAACATCTGCTTGGAAGAGATTCGGACAGTACAGCACGTTTCTGAGAGATCAAAGAATGCCCATGTGTCTCAAAAGGAAGATCATGAACACTGTCATACTGCCATCAATGACGTATGGAGCTGAGACATGGTCACTTACCAACCGCCAAAGAGAGAAACTGGCAGTCACCCAGAGGAGCATGGAACGATCAATGCTGGGTGTTACGAGGAGAGATAAGATCAGGAACGAAGACTTAAGATCAAGAACAGGGGTGAAGGATGTCATCGAGAAAGTGATTGAAGCCAAAGGCAAGTGGGCAGGACATGTAGCACGAATGAAGAACCACGAATGGGCTAAGAAAACGACAGAATGGACTCCGTGGGACAGGAAGAGAGGAAAGGGAAGACCAAAGAAAAGATGGAGAGATGAGATCGAGCAGAAGGCAGGCAGCACGTGGACCCAGAGTGCCCAAAACCGTGATGAGTGGAGAAAGATGTGGAGGCCATCCGCCAGCAGTGGTGTGACAGGCTAATGATGATGATGATGAGGTTTTATGTGAATGCGCATTTCAAGAGCTATCAAAGCATCACAGTCTTCAAGACTACAATCCAGATCTACAGACTGGGGGAATGGGTCTTGAACAAGAACACTTGGTAAATTGCTTGCTAATTATAAAACTAATTATCTTTGACTAAAATGTCACAGTAAAAACCAAAGGATAACGCATTATTTTTAATTCACGTACAGCAAGCCATGTTCACAGATCTTAAAGTGCATCCTTTGCTTTGCTACAAGCGAAGTGAACATGCCCTGCTTTGCCCTGCTAGAAAACTTGAACGGGCAATCCTACTGGCCTAAGAGAATGTTGGAGGAACCGGGATTCAAAATTATAAAGAAACTTTGTGCTACAGATACTCACGCATTAATGGGATCATACGGCCTTCGCTGGTACGTCGTGACTTCAGCAGTCTTTATTATCTTCTGTGTGTCATACAGCATGAAGCCTCCGAAAATGACCAGCCCACCATACGTTACAACAGAATTGATACCGGCTCCAACTGCTGAGGACGCCGGAAGAAACATGCCACCTAAGCGCAAAAATTCATTCAAATTCTTAGTTAAGGTCAACTTTAATTTAAAAGAAAAATTACCAAAGAACCTAAAACGTGTAGTTGTAAAGAAAAAGAGAAAGAGCCCTCACCGATTGATGCAACACAAATGCCTCCCAATGCGAGGGCCAATGGGCCACCCCATGTCAGAAATTTCCCATCGGGAGCACAGGCTGCAGTGAGGGAGAGTCCAGCGACGGTGCCTGCAGTGTATGCTGCAGCGCGCAAAACCAGTGGACCACCAAGAAGTACCATTGGTGCAATGACAGCACCAATCACCGCACTGTGTCCTGAAAGAAACAATCACGAGCAAATTACGATGGTATCAAACTGCTCAGCAACAAGCACCAGACGATAAATCATAAATAGTTCAGCGGTTAGTTTATTTATTCACCAGATGTAGAATAATGATGACAGTAAAAGCGCGCAGTGACTATCAAAGCAAGTTTTGATTCATTCGCATTTTAGAGCACCCCTCAATAAGCCAACAAGATGCTTAAAAATTCTTATCCAACTGAATACCGGAACAGCCTTGGCACGGACATAGTAAAAACACAAATTCCAGTTAATGTGGTACGTCTTCCAACATTTTGACCATACACAGATTCCTATCTACAACATTCACTGATTACAAACAGGTTGATAAAGGTAGTAAAAAATCAATTTAGAATTGCTTACCTATCCACATCAGATGTTTAGCGTTAAAGCCAGGTTCATACGGAATTGACTGACAGGCAATAGATGTTCCTATCATAGCAACCAGACTGCCTCCAAGTACCTAGACAAATTGATACATATAACATCAAAATGGAAAGTGGCAACTGATTGAGAAGCTCAATAAAAAGATTATATCGAAAATATAACTGAGGGTCTGTATAGCTAGCCATCAATTTTATTTAGAAAAAAACACGAAGAGCTTCAACCAACATTAAATACACAGAAATAGCTTCACGGTTTATAAAAAACAGGGGTTCGAACTTTAGAGGGTGTTTGCATCCCTGGAATTCAAAGCTCGAACTGGATCTAACAAATTAGCTCACAAAATTCAATAACACAAAACAGAATACATACCAGCCATTTGTTTGCCCTCATCATTGCATAGACTGCGTTGCTTTGGCTTATTCCATATGCAGAGACAGCTGTTATGGCCAAACTTCCAGTAAAATAAAGATATGTGGATTTGACACGGCTTCTCACTTCTTCAGGCCAAAATCTAAAAAAAAGTTTGAAGAACAAAATTAAAAGAGTAAAAAATGTAATGGGATACTTGTCAAAATGAATAATGTTGTTATTCAGATAAAATACTTAGAATCAAGATGGTGAGCACTGTTGAAAAACATATTTCTGTGTCCTTTGAAGCACATTTCCAAATAGAGCTTCAAAGCACCACAGACCAGTGATGATCTTTAGAGGAGTTTGGCCTTAACAGGCCTTGCCCGGAAAGGCGCTCGATCGAGCGCGCGCGCCTAGAGCGCACCCAAAAAAAGCCTTGGAGAGCGATTTATAGAGCCCCTCAAAACGTAAAAACAATATTAACACGGAGCAAAATAAATTTTTGGAATTTGTTGAATCAACTTGATCAAGCATAAACAATCTTCCCAACAGACCGCAATATTATGATTTGCGTAAGATTACCCCTTGAGAAAAAATCAGCAAATTCAACGTTGGGTTTTCGATATCATTTTAAATCTAATAACCCTCTAATAACCATCAAGAATACAGGCCATCAAGCGTATTCTCCGGCAGATTTATTTGATTTTTGAGCAAGCGTTAATCTTCTATTGAAGTAAATATTATTTTCTGTTTTTCTTAATAACTTAAAATCGCCTGTGCAAATCAGCGATCACGTTTCCGTCCAAATTATCGCATTGCTTTTCATTTGAGTTTGCGAGTAGTAGATGTTCTAGCGTTTCTTATAGAATGGATAACATGAAAAAAGGAAACAAAGTTAAATGTTCGATTTAAAGCCATGCGTTTTGATGAAGCAATATGTGAAGCTGAACATAACAGTAGTGATACTGACACTGATAAAAGCTCATCGCATGATGGCAAACTTACATATCTAGAAAAATCTGAACAATTTTGCGACTTTGTTCTGTTATATTTACATAAACATAGTGTTTGTTGCATGTTTTGTTATTTCATGTTATGGTGCTTTCTGGTATCACCGTTGAATTTCATATTTAACATTCTTCCGAAGCTTTTGATATGAAGCTCTCGA